GGAGATGATGATGGGTTTGGAGGAAGAAGTAGTTGTATACACATCTTCTAAATACATCCAACCATCCTTCATTCACCCATCTATCCATCCATCCATATTCAACAAATTCACTTCATTAACTCCATTCTTCCTCTGCCATGGATACGTCTATCTACCTTCCTGGGCATTCACCCCTTCATCCAAGTTCATGCATCAGGCCGACCGCTTTCAAGCCTCCATCCACCCTTCACTCATCGGTTATAATACATCCAATAATTTACGATCAGCCACTTCCCTTAGATTATCTCCATTTATTAATTTTGTCACAAGCAACTACCCATCCATCCCTCCATTGGCCCATCGTTTTACAAGAGCAAAGCGGAAACAGTTGACGAGTTGGAAAACTTGCAGGTTAACTTTCACCCACCATCCTTCTGCGAGGCCGCTTATCAGGGAACTAATAAACCAAAAAAACAAAATAATTGAAACGGTCGTTGTAAGTTTTCGACCCATGCTGCAATTTTGTTCAGCATGGAGGAGGAAATTTGAGGTCTTCTGTTCGGACACGTAATCTATGTATCTATTGCTGTTCCACGGAGAGTCCACAACGGCGAATAAGCGACACAACAACCAAATTGCGTGGCAAAGTTTGTCAAGAAGCTCCAATTTTGGCTGCTTGTTGGAAAAAGTGGAAAAGTGGTCGGAAGGTCAATGACATGTATGGCCATGATCACCTCTTAGATCCTTAAAAGCCATTCATTTAGGCCAAAGAATACACCACTCAAGTTTAAATGGCGCTATTTCATGTTGCTTGAACATCAAGCAGAAGTTAGTCTAATCCATCTCAATCGACCACAAAGGTATGGTCTCACATCTGCTTGTATGGTTGCCCTGGAAGCCATCTACTATGATCCAAACACGATGTGCATGGACGAATCGAAAAATTAGTGGATAAGCTTTCAAGTGTGGTATTCAGCAGAGCACTCAGCACTAATTTGCCTTAAGTTGTAGGGACCTGTGAAATACATGCAGCAGTTTACGGACGCAGTGTGAAGCACGGAAATGCTTTGACCTATTGGCACTGTGATATTTAATGAACTGTCATAAAAGTAGAGACCCAACCGTTTACATGATGCAGGCTAAATAGCAGTTACGATTGAGTTTTACCCACTCGAGACTACTGACTGCACAACAGCAACACTCCACAAAATGTCTTTAAATACCAATTTAAAACATCGGTACAATGCGGCGTTGCAAATTCAGCGAGCACTGCAATGGCTATGGAAATTAATCTGACCTAAGGAAGGACCACATACTATCCCTCCACAATTCCGCCAGGTAAACTCCGCCACATGTGCTTCTACTTAAGAACCAACTTAGAGGAAGTTAAGCCGAAAAGGCAGTGATAAAAATGACGGTCTAGTCTAGTCAACGCAGAAAGAAATCCACAACCAGAATTGACGAAGCATTTAAAGGACGGATTCAGGAAGACAGCCGATTACCAAAAGGCACCTCTGCACATCATCCATCATCATACTTCCGCCTCCAGATTAGACTAGTGGTTCATCAATTCAATTGTCGATGTTAAGGACGTGTTTCAAGAATTCTTCATGTTGGATTTCCTAACAAGTAGGGTGACAGCACATTTATTAGGGTCCCTAGACTTATTCTCCTGTCAAACTCCAATTGAGATACCTAGGTATGAACGGCCGAAGACGCATTTCAAAGGATTATAAAAAACAACCCCTTGCGTAGAATCAAAGCCAAAGCGAAACTGTCCATCAGTGCTGCAGGAAGCAACAGGTTATGGAAATTCGAAGCATAGCAACAAAATGACAGCTTAATAGCCGTGAAGTCGAAGATTTACATGTTGAATGTTAGGACTCAAAACGTCACACTGGATGAATTTAAGACCATTTGCCTGCGTAAGTTCGACAAGCCACTCGTAGTAATGAGGTCAAATAAGAGACGGATTCAGCAAAGAGAACGTCATTTCTTGTAAATCCACACCAATGGAAACCAAAGGCAACACTTAAGATAGTAGCCCAATACGCACATAGCACTGTTTAGCACTGTCATAGCACTGTTTAAATAATCGCACTATCTACGGTTGACCGTTCAAACCGGTTCTATTTCGGCTTAGAAACTTCCTTCTTTGCAAGTCAATATGGAACATCTCCCGTTATCACAAGCAGTTAAGAAACACATGCCACGTTCATGAGACATGCAAACAAACAGTTATAATGAAGAGCATGAAAGCCGTTCCTCACCAATAAAAACTCAATTAGAATGACTTAAATCAGAAAAAAGAAGTACTCACACAGGTTGATGGGTAATCTTAATACCCAGTTGAATTCAATCAAGAGCAAAATTGACAACCTGACAAGCAATTCCTGCATCAAAAGCAGTCGCAGCGTTCGTGTGTTCTACCACAAGAACAACTAACTTCCAACGCTGAATGCTGCTGGGAGAGGACACGACTTTGGCAAGGAATCCCACACACTCCAGATGCAGCACGAAGCAATCGCGGGGCACTAACTCCGAAAGGCAGGCAGATACTTTCACGCTGAAGGTGTGTTTGTGTTAATGAAGTTCAAGAACACCCGACAGGGTTATCGCAAGTCACTTGTGCTTTGTAAGTTCAACCACTTTCTAGGGATATGAACATGGCAGGTATCTTAATACTGAAAAAAACAGAAACGGACATTAGTCTTCGGAATTTGCGGAATAACTGCACAAAAACAAAAACAATACACACAAAAGATATTAGATCCTTGCCCACCTAAGCCCTTAAATACGCCGTAATTAGGCAGCGCAAAATATTGAATTCCGTTTCTTCCGACACCGTCATCAGGAACGCGCACAGACATATGAACAACAAATTTCCATCATCCAAAGCCACACACGAAAGGGAAGTTGTCTTAAAAGAGCTCAGTCACACGCACTAGGTGGTAATATCATCGACGTAACATTGGAAGTACCCATTTCCACACGAGGAGATGAGCCAGTGGGCCAGCTAAACTGACGCAAACGCGATAACCTTGGAAGACAATATTGGTCCTGTATGTAAACATGAGAAGGTGAAATAAAAGTAGTCGGAAAATAGTTAAGGTAGGAATATTAGCACAGGAGAAATATGCTTGGAATGCTGTCCAAGATTTGGAACCAATTCGACATCAAAGCTGCGCTCACTTTTTAATACTGCGAAGATAAATTGTAAAAATTGAGTCGCATTTATGTGCGAAATGGTTTTTTACGATCTATCTTACAATTATTATGTTATTTTCATGCTTACATGCACATATATAAAGACACATATGTGAACGCATTGGAGTGTGGATGGCATCTAGCCTGCTCTTCTAATTGTGCTACACAAAATTACAGTTCTATAAAGCGATTACTGTGATTAGTTTTGTTTGCGTAAAATCGTTATACTAAGCAATAGAACTTGTCATCTTAAAGTTTATTGGCTGCTTCATTATTTTGTCCCTTTGATGTAGCGGCAAATTCAGTGGGTTTGGTGGCGTGGGGGTTTCGGGAGGGAGGGTTGTACTTGTTACGAGGTAGATCCTATTGAATACTTGACTCTACTTGGTGTTAATGACTTTCCCGGCCTTCATTTAGGCAAGAATGTGCCTGTTCGTAGTGGAACATTATCTGCGAAATA